AAAAAAAAAAAAAAAAAAAAACACATCTTAGTAAAACCAATACCTTCTCAGCTTCGCATCGAAGCTAAAAGAAATAATTTATCAAAATTACTATTTTAAAACAAATAAAAGCCACTGTTCAAAAGTTAATTTTTTTTTTATGGCTTTAAATTTAACATAAAATAGTAATTGAGGCATTGTTAAAAACGCAAATATGAACATAGCTGTCTCGTGAAGGTTCATTTCGTGTTTACAATAACAATTTTCGGATTTATCTTATAAAGTATTTGTAATTTTCTAATAATCAGCTTTTATGAATTTTATAATTTGATTAAAAGAAAAACCCAGCACAGAGGGGTCACAGCACAGTGGTGACGTGGCAAACTTGGGTCAAATATAATGATATATGACAGTGATTAAAATCACTATTATAAAAAACGCTTCGATGCAAATATTTAGTTAGTGTTTAATTTTAAAAAAATTGGTGGATTATTCCAAAAGCTACATTATCTGTTATTTCCTTATTTATATCCTGATTAAGATCAGTGGCGGCTCGTAGGTCTCGGAAGTGGTGACTTTTAATTTAGTAAATTTGAATAAAGAATATACCTATTTTTAAGATTATAGGTACACGTAGATAATAGCTGTATTAATTGGTAACATGATAATTCTTTAAAATTTTTATAAATTATAAGATGAAAAATTATAATCGTGTAATACTTTTATACGTTGACTGATAACTGATGTAATAAACGTAATCCGTTTGTTGTTTTTGTGGGAGAAGCATAGATTAGAACACAACGACATATTGTCGATTCCATTTAATTAATATGTAAAATGTCGTTTCGCATTTGAAACCACCTAGCACAAGATGGTGTTCACCGCTGAAGAAAATTTACATCAGCCTCATTTTACCAAGTATTCACGACTCTCCCCCACAATCAACCTTAATAATCCAGTATAGCAACTGAATCAAAAAAAAGTTTGCCTCTCGGACCTCACAGTATGCTTCGTAATCAGTCGTGTAACGTGTTGTCATTTTAGATCTTTGGTTTCGGCACTAACTACCGTGTTATATCTCACTGTGTTTGTGCAGCGCCAGTCAGGCGCAATATTATGTTATCTATTTTCGTCCTATTATCTTTTGTGGTTCAAGATTACAAATTGTGTTAATTATAAAAATAAATTATAATATTTTGAAAGAAATTTGATATTAATGGAGGCACGAAATAAATAAATAATTATAAGGTATATTGCAGGTGAGATTGTGCCTCACTTGCCTCACCCGGCGTGCCGCCGCTGATTAAGATTAAGTATGTCGAATGAAAGAGGGATATAAATATTATTTCTCATAAAAAAATTGTATTGACCCATACACTTTTCATTAAGTTATAGCATTATAAATTTAAAAATGTAAAATATAAAATCGCGAAATTTTCACATAAAAATATCATTTAATAGCCATTTTCAATGTTTTCTATTTTTGAGGGAAATTTCTTCGACTAAATACTATTAGTGATCTATTGACGTATTGTTCGTCAAAATGGTCTAGCGAGAGCTAAGATTGAGCGTTCACAGTCACAAAAAAATAAAATAAAAAAAACACATCATAGTGAAATTCATACTTTCTAAGCTTCGCATCGAAGCTAAAATTTATACATTTTTACATCAATTTTATTTATATTATTAGATATTTTGATAATGTAATATATTTTCAGTTATTTCACGAAACAGTTGCTATTGGGCTGTTACAGAAGATATTATTCCATGAGGATGGAGTGCAAGCACTTGGTTCACATGCTTTGGATTTATTTGACCATGTGTTTATGGCAATCACTCATTTGGCTATTGGGTAATTAATAACATGAATATATTTTTTTATTTTTAGTTTATTCTATATCAAATAACTAAAGGTTGTGAACAAAGATGTTAAATAAAATGGAATATTTTAAAGTTAAAGTTGTTTATTCTATATACTAGCTAAATGCTACACAAAATATTTAACAANATATATATATATATATATATATATATTAGAATGGTCCTTAGTTATAGATTATGAAAAATTTCTTTTAGAAATTCCTTAGTCTCACCCCCCAAATTTGTTTATGTACATGTAAAAACGAACTAAAAAAAATTTCACGTCAATCTGACAAGTTTAACCCGTGCCTACTCGAATTACGGCAATTGGAATATTAACGAATACTACATTATATTTGACAAACGTTTAGAGATACGAATATATCTTTTATACAAAAATCGTTTATTATTTAATTATTAATAAATTCAGCACAAAACCGTGATGTGAGCTAAGCACCCCCCCCCAAATTAAAAATACATAGTTGAAAAAAAATTGCTGATATTACTAATGTATAAATTATGCTAATTGTTTTTTTCACTTTCAAAATTCTTTACATCATAATAAAGTTGATTTTTTCCTGTCAGGATACTTATTTATATTATCCTTGAGAATTTGTAATAAATTCTGTTTTTGATTTTCATCATTGGTTAAAATTCTGTTTTACTCTGTTATAAGCTCTACAGTGTAAAACAAATATTGATTAATTTAATACATCAAACAATTATAACAACATTTATGTATACTGTGGTGACTGATTATAATATATACAAAAAGAGTATAAAATAAATTGTAATATACTGTAAAACATATGGACTGAAAAGTCCCCAAGAAAACACGGATTTTTCATTATGCAGAACGCAGTGGACGTCTAAATGAAGCAATAACCCCAGAAAATATTGTAAAATCCACAAAATTGTTTTGAATGATCGTAAAATGAAGTTGCGTGTTTTCTTATATATATATATATATATATATATTCAATAAACTTAATAAATAGAAACTATGTAATTATAATTTTTTAATAGTTTTTCTTTAACTGAAAATTTAAGTGGTTTTTACTAAGATTTTTAATAATAATTATTAATTGTATTATATTATTAAATATAAATATTTTGTGTAGCATTTAGCTAGTATATAGCATAAACTACTTTAACTTTAAAATATTCCATTTTATTTAACATCTTTATTCACAACCTTTAGTTATTTGATATAGATTTCCTTAGTAGAAAAATAAGGACCACCCTAATATATATATATAATATACAGAGTGATTTTTTTATAATAACCCACTCAATTACTTGCAGAATAATAATAGTTTAAACATTTTTTTTTTCATTATCTTTAGTTACACATTATTCTTGAATTTTTAACTATGTAATACTTTTTAAGTTCATCCCTTATGCCTTGGAAGGGGGTCAACTTTGTTTTTTTAAATGGTAACACATATTTTTAATTTAATAAAATGTTTGAGTTTTTAATTTAATAGTAAATGGCATTTGAATTTTTAATATAACTTAATTCGTTTATTAGATATAATCATTTAAAGTTTCAAATTTTTGAATTAATATACAGGTATAATACACAAGGGATTACAAATATAGGTAGCTAATTGGTTTTTTATAACATCGATATTAGCAGGTACACAGCATTGTTATTATCAATTGTAGTAAGGCACATTGTTATGAGTTTATAAATACACTAACTGACAATACAGAAAGTATATCTATTGATAATCATAATTGATAATAAACAATCCGTGACTGAGACAGCAATGTCATAAAAATCCAATTAGCTACCTGTATTTACAATCCCATGTGTATTATACATGTATATTAACTCAAAATTTTGAAACTTTAAATGTTTATATCTAATAAGCTAATAAAGTTATATTAAAAATTCAAATGCCATTTACTATTAAATTAAAAACTCAAACATTTTATTAAATTAATATAAATAAAACAAATTACTTAAGTGGAATAGAAGATACTGTTATTTTAGAAAAATTAAAAACAAAAAAGACGATATTTTGAAATTTAGTTTTGAACAATTAAAAAATACCAACCTCAAAATGACTATAAGGAACTTTTAGAATTGGTCATAATATTTTTTGGTGAAACAACTTTACATAGAATTTATTTTAAAATTCCTGGCCCAATCCATCATGCTCGTTGGATGGCCAAGGCCATTTATTGTTTGAAAATTTTTTTTGTTTCGCGGCCAATTTGAATTGTCAATCAAAGAATTAATTATTTAAATAACATTCGTTCATTATGTATTTTTATTACAAGTTTATATAGTTTCTGGTTGTATATAAATTTGTAAGTGAATATTATTTTAGCTTCAATGTGAAACTGAGACGGTATTAATTTTACTCTGATGTATTTTTTTTAATTAAAATTAAAAAAAATTGTAGGTTTTGAATAGTAAATAATAGAAAAAATGTNTGTAGGTTTTGAATAGTAGATAATAGAAAAAATGTCGAATTAAAAATGTATAGAAAATTAAATTTAAAACAACGGTTAAATGCATTTTTTTTATGTTTTTATAATGAGCGATTTATAAATTAACAGTCTTAACGGTAAGAATAGAACATATACGTTTTTATTTTTTTAGGGCTAAATAAGAACTTTTCGAACATTTTTGTATATATACTTTTTATAGAAAAATTGTATACCTACATAAAGGTTGAATAAACTTTTTCGCAAAAGCTAAAGTTTTTGAGATAGACATAAAAAATTAAAAAATCACCCTTGGGGGTTATTTTTAACCCCCTTGGGGCACGTCTTAGAGTTGACCAATCGTCTCCAAATTTCGTACA